CACCCTGCGTTTCCTTGGGTCATGAGTGCCATCCTCCAGCATCACCCCGGCATCTCCCCACAACCAGAGCTGACCCGGCAGAGGAGTTATGGGAGGTTACATCCCCCTCGCCGCCCCCTTCCCAGGAGTTTCACACCCCTGACCATCACAATTTTACCCCCTGGGAACAAACTCAAAACTTCCCCTAATACCCGGAGCCCCTTAATCCCATTGCCAGCCCCAGCTTCGGTGCCGACAAACTGGTGCTGGGTGTCGGGCAGGACCGGGACCATCCCCTGCCGCTTGTGCCACGCGTCTTATGCAGCACTAATAGCGTTAACACGTAGGAAACAAAACAGGCCCATAATATTAATAGCGGGAAAGAACGGCCCACAGCTCCCCGCGGGCTCTGAACGCAGCGACGCCTTGGACTACCCCAGCTAATGAGCTGACATTAGAGGCAACGACTCCTGCCGCTAAACTGCAGCAACCAAACTCCCACCGCGGAGCGGTTTCCCGCAGAGAATCCAAGTGTCTCCAGCAATCTGCCAACTGCACGGCTAATTTTATTTATTTATTTTTTTTTTAAAAGGGAGTTAAATGTTACGACAATATTCTGAACAGTCAGCGCACCAGGAAAGTGTGTCGAGTGCCAGGGAGGTCATTAGTTAGAGCCGGATGAATACGTCGATGTGATTTATTGTCACACCTTTCCTTGCAACTCTGGAGGGGATGCGTTTTGGGGACGGGGAGGCAGCGACCGGGCTGCCATCCCCCCCTCCTGCATCCTCCCAGCATGGATTTTCTCCCGGCTTACAGAGGTGTGCGGGGAACCGGGCTGCGTTTGGGTGGGATCGACCCAGGTGGGAACTTGGAGGAGCCAAGCAGAGGCATGCGGGTCCCCTGGCAGGAGAGGTGACCGTCCAAGAGGGGACAGCACGAGGAGGTCGCACTCGGTGCTGCTGCCTGCCCTGCGCTGGGAGATAACGCTGCTATCTCCCGCAGCGATGCCCTTCATGCCCCAGCAGCGGGACGGCAATGTCAGCGGAGAGGAGGGAGCTCTGCTCCCGCCACGGGGCTGCGGCCACGCCGGCACAGCCAAGGGTGCCCAAAATGCTCCTGCTCACTCCGTCCCAACGGAGCAACGCGGCACACTGAGCACCCTCGAAACGGGGGAGCAGCAGGGCTGGGGGCTCCCCCAGCTAAGACGCAAAGCAGGGATCCTGCGGCCGGCCCCCAGCCAAGTGCATCCCCACCATGCTGGGGCAACGCTGCTGCCTGAATAGCTCCCTCCTCCGACACCCCGTCTTTGGGCACTGCCAATAAATTAAGGGTCGACATGGGGCAGGCCATGTCCTGACGGATCTGGAGGATAAATGACCCCCTGCTTCCTCTCTGCTGCCAGGGAGGACGGGCGAGAGGCTCCCACCACAGTGCATTCCTAATGAGAAAATACCGCTCTGTTTTGGCAAGGACATGGGTAGAAAAAAGCCGCAAGCATGCACCCCTCCGCTGGACCCCCCCACACCCCTCTAGTGCCAGCGAGCAGACGAGACATCG